CAGACCCCCCCCCCCCCCCAGAGAAAGGACTGTTCAAATTGTTTGTTTTTCGAAGATGAAGCTGTTAACAGGCACGGCATGGCACGGCCGCTTGAAGCCACAAGCATGATTGGAGTAATTTGCCAGAAATCGGCGACTGTCCACATCGGCTCATCACAGCGTTTATTAGGATTCCGGATACTGTGAGGGCATCTTGGTGGATTCTGTGTTGCAGGCTTGTGCACGTGTGCTGCTCTCCTGATCACGTTTTGCAGCCGGTCCTCAACCCAAGAAAAGCCCGGCAACCCGCGAGACGAACCTGTGCGATCGATCACATCTAACTGGTTGCTTTGCGCATCCGATGCTTTTTTGTATCCGCCTCATGTACTTATATAGGATATGTCCCGGATGCACCTTGGCCAGCCAACCATACATCCTAAATCTCGAATCCCAAAACCGGCTCGGTGAAGGTGTGCGGATGGCATTGCGATTGCTCCCTTTCCTCTTCATCGGCGGTGCGTCCAGCTGTGCCTAGCCAATATCGCCGACAACCTTACCTCCTTTCGGGCTTCAGGTTTTATGGTTAGGTGGCCAGGGTTCTTGACCAATGCCAGCTTGTGCAGGTGCTCGTCTGCTGAGCTGCCAGCACTACGATGCAGGCTCTGATCATTCAAGGAATACACCCGAAAGTTTTGAATCATCAATTTCAATCACCCCTTCTGCACTTTAAGGTATATTGTTTGTTGCAGCGGCAGCCCCGACACTTAAAAAAGAGCCACCGAGCACAACACCAAAAAATGCAGCCGCGGGTCAGCTCTAGAATCTAGACCCTAAACCCTAACCTAACCCCTAAACCCTAAACCCTTAACCCTTAATTACCCCCAGAACCAGGCGACCAAGCTCTGGGCGAGGATGCATTTCTCACGCTGCTGCCGCATCTCACGTGCCGAGATGGTGGGTGGCAAGCCACAGTAGTGCCGGCCTCGTTCGAGTGAGGGTTTAGGTTTGCAAGTTGCCGGGGGTGGGTGCAGGGTTCGGCATGCACGCACCACCTCCTCAGTAGAATTACGAAGCTGTGCCATCGGTTTAGTATGTCACAGCCGGTCAGTCGCAGAACGTCACTAGCTGTGAGTGGAGTTCAGATGAAAGGCTCTTAAAGACATTCGACTGCTGCTTGCAAAAGCCGACAAAGTGCGCCCTCTTGAGGCAGCGAGTGTTGGATGGATATCGATTTTCGGCTACGTCATCATTATTCCGGGCTTCTTGCTGTATCTGATGAGCAAGCAGAAGAGCGCGATTGCACCAAGCAAGCGGTCAATAGCCACCGCAGAGCTGGGACAAGACATGGCGGTTGTGAGACTGCTCCTCGGCTGGCTTGAATAGCGGTTTAGGGTCCAGGGCTCAGGGGCCTGACATGTAATTGGTAAGGAAGACCACAACCATCTTGAACTGAGTGGGTGCATATATATATATACAGTTATGTATATGTATATATATATATATATGTGTGTGTGTGTGTATATGTGTATATATATATATACATATACATAGGTATATATATGTATATATGTGGAGAGGTTGAAACACGCGCTGTCAAGTGGAGTGGAATCTCAAAACCTCAGGCACGCATTCCAGGCGCACGACGACGGCACTGAGCCAGACTCTCTCGAGAAGGATGACGGGGTAGTTGGAATCGACCAGAGGTGACTATTCGGCTTTCGCAATCCAATAGCACAACTTGCAAACCATCTTAAGCCTGCAAAACCCAGTAAAGCCTGAAGGCAAGAGTGGAATGAGGGAGTGGGTGAGTGTCGACCACCAGTGCAACTACTGTATGGCGCAGCCTGCCTCCCGAGTCCCTCTCTCGGCGTCATCGCCCCCCCCTCCCGGAGCTGGGACTCAAGCAAAATCCAGCAAACACGGGCGATCTGGAATAACAGCTCATCAAATGGTATGGCTGGGAAAGCACGAACAGAAGTGAGCAGGCAATGGTAATTGGTATACAAGACTCCAGCTTGTCGAGTGGGTGGGCCAGTGCCGAGGGAGCAACGGCCAAGCACAGACGGCCCGCCAACCCAACTTAAACCCGTGAGCCAAGCGCAGGGGGTGCGCGTGCACCAGCGCCGAGGGCTAGCACGATGCGGCTACAAGCAGCTGTCAGCGACCAACACACACGACTCCCGAACGCATCCATGGTTTTTACAACATGCTTAAAGAAGCAAGCATGGAAAAAAGACGAGCTAGCAGAGGGATCTCGGTCCGCGAGCAATTTTCCGAAGGTCGCTACAACAAGCAAGTAGCAAGCATAGACCATATGCAAGATCGGTAGGGTTAAGGGTTTAGGAGGTCAAAAACTCCATGCACAACCGGCCTATAACTCCCACGACCAGTGTAGCAAACAAACCCAGCCAGGATCTTAGATCTTCACGACAGGCTATGTAGCAAGCATGGACGACATACGAGATCAATGGGTCAGCTGCAGAGGAAGCTCAGCCCACGACCAATGTAGCACGCACACCCAAGGCCCAACCAGAGCCGAATATCGTCACGACAAGGCATGTAGCAAGCCTAGACAGCATACGAGATTAACCAGCCAAGCATGGACAGAGCTCAAAACTCAAGAGAGATAGTTTAGGGTTTAGGCTTTAGGGTTCTCAAGTGCCAATGGCCAGCATGGCAAGGACACCACGTGAGGGCTCAATCTTGTTACGACTAGCAATATAGCAGTGTAGCAAGCATAGCCAACACATGAGATCAACAGGCCAAGTGCAGAGGAGCTCAACTCCACGCATAAGCGGCCCAATAATGTACACACGACCATGGCCGTTGTAGCAATGTAGCAAGCACGACCAGGCCAGTATGTCAGTGTAGAGACACGAAGGGCTCCATAGCACCCTTACCTTGGCCCCTACCCAAAATACCAGATCCATGGACAAAGACGCGAAGCATTCCAAACAAGCCATTTGCGGAGGCACTGTCAACCTAGCATGCGGCAGGGGATGGCCCTTGGTGCCACCGCCCAGGGTCCACACTTTTCCGACGAAGAGCTCCGCCCCAAAAGAGTGTGCTAGGCTCCGGGGGGCAAGACTGGAGCTATTATTCTATTTCTATGCAGACACTCATTTCTAAACCAGAAGCCGCAATCCCTAAACCCAAACCCAAAGCCTTGCTCCACGCTTACCCCTGCTTTGCAGGAGCCAAGAATGAAGCACTTACTGGCTGCGGCAGTGGCGCACAGTGCCGTTTACTTCAGAGGGACCGTGTCGTTTCGGCTGCAGGAGAATCGGATGATGCCGCCCGGTGTGCGATTTGTCACGGCTGGTACATGGGTCTGAAGAACCATAGTAACAGTATCTTCTCAGGGTCCATACATAACTATCAGGCTATCGTATACCCGCAGCGCCTTATTTTTTCAGTATTATGCCCCTGTAAATCCCTGGCACTAGAAGTGGCAAGACACTAACATGCCAGGATGGCGTATAGGTGCCGGGTAGGCAACCCTGAGCCTCTTTGGGCATATGAACCCCCGGGTTTAGGGGTTGGCCTTTGTTGGACTAGCTGGGTTTAGTAAGGCGTTGTTCAAACTGGCGCCTTTTCGGGTCTTGGGTCCGATCCTACCTAGTTTGACATGGCACTTATATAAGCCCGAGGCCCTAAACCCTAGAACCTAATCCTTTTTCCAAATTATGTGGGCAAGCCCCAAACCCTAGGGGAAAACATCCTTAAACCAAATTATATGGAAACATCCTTTAAACCAAATTTTATGGGCATGCTTAAACCAAATTGTTTGGACGACTCCTGCATTCTGGCCCACACTCGGTCTATACCCACACCCCCGGGAGGATCTAAAAAGGTAGATCTCTTAATTTGAGACTCTAACTACTAAAGGGTACTTAATAGCAACCCCCTTAAGGGATCTTTGTTTTGGATCCTCCCGGGGGTCTGGATACAAGGGGCCAACTCAATGGCTTTATTTATACCCTCCCAAAGTCTTTGCCGGCCTTGACGAAAACTCCCACAGATGGAGGTCTGGACAATATGAGGGGGCCTTGCTCCGGGGGGACTCAGAACAAGGAGCTTATTTTTCGTGGTCCCCTAAGTCCCTAAACCCTAAACCCTAAACCCTAGGCGAGGGTTCTGAGAGTGTGAGTGCTGAAACCGCTAAACCCTAAGCCGTAAACGTCTTAAATGTTATCTTTCAAAGCCTAAACGTCAGACCTCGGGCCTCGAGCACCCCCAACACTCGGCCACAAGCCAACCCGGCGAGGGTTTAGGGTTTAGGGTTTCCCCAAAACTCAGCGAGCGAAGGCAGGTGCGGCTACTCGATGCCGCAGAGACTCAGGACGTGGAGAATGCTGCTTGGCTTGGCCACTGGCGTTGAAACGGTAGGATCTAGGGTTTAGGGTTTAGGGTTTAGGGTTAGGGCCTAACTAGACTTTGAATGGTAGTACTCTGTTCAGGAGAACGTATGTTATGGTTGGTTAGGTTCCTGCAACTTAGGTAGCCAAAGAAGTCTGTGTAATCCAGGGTCGAGGTAGGGTTTTCGGTTCAAGGTGATAGAGATTGCAAGCTACACGGCTTGATTGTTTACAGACTGGAGGGCGTCATGGGCAAACCCGAAAGCTTCCGCGCATGTAGACCGAAAACGAGCCTTCAATGAGATTAAACAAAGAGCTGGACACCGGACGCATGACCCTAAACCCTAAACGGTCGTGAAGCCATGCCTGCTTGTGCGAGTGTGTGAGTCAAAACCCTAAACCCCAAACCCCATTGGATGCAACCTGCGATGCACCGTTTGTGCACGGGTTGCCTTCTGCCGGGCCCAAATCCGAACCATCAATCTTCCTAACAACGAGCACAAGGTGATGCCATAAGGTTTAGGGTTTAGGGTCAGGCGATGTTTCCCGGCATCCGGAATCGGAGGTTTCAAGATTCGCTTTGTATGCTCGGCACAATGTCGCTTCAAGCTTATATAGTCCCTAAACCCTAAAGCCCAGCCCCAGCTCGAACCCAGTCCTTAGAGAGACCCCTTGGACCCGGCTCTGAAGTTTCGTGGGCTTATAGGGTTTGCCGCAAGGGGATGTTGATACCGGCCCTGGATCTTCGGAAATGCAAATCCCTGTAACCACCCCCCCACGAAGTTATCGCATTTATATGTCGCATACCTCAAAACCCGTAGTCTGACCATCAAGGCCCTGAGGGGCAAAGGTCACATCTTGCAACGCCAACCATGGTGCATTTTACAAGTGGGGGGGGGGGGTACCTTATTTTGGGGCCCCTTTAATAAGGATCCTACTACTTAGGGTGCTATAATAGGGGTCCCCTGTTTTCGGAAACCCCCCAAGTTCTCATGGGCCCCGAAGGATTCTGTTGAAAGGTCGCAAGGATTGGGGCCGGGGTCGCCAGTTTTAGGGTTCCAGTGGTTTCGGACTGTTCCGCTTTTTTTGGCCTAAGGCAAGCAGCACCGCCTCCATGATCCTTCAAGACAAGGAGTACACAGACCAGCGCCGATGGATCAAAATCACGAGGCCTCCGGAGATCGACTGGGGCTCCGGGCTCGCAGTGACTCGTAGTGGCCTGGACATGCATGCTTTTAACATCTTTTAGCCTGATCTCCGGGTTTATCCTTTAGGGCTTAAGGTTGAGGGGCCCGAAACCCTAAGCCAAAACAGTCAAAGCCCAAAACCCCAAACCCAAAACCCCAAACCCTAAACCCTCAACCCCTAAGCCCTAAACCCTAAACCCCAAACCCCTAAACCCTAAACCCTAAACCCCGAACCCAAAACACCAAACCCTCAACCCCTAAACCCTTAAACCCTAAACCCCTAAACCCCTAAACCCCTAAACCCCTAAACCCCTAAACCCTAAACCCCTAATCCCCAAAACCCAAAACCCCAAAACCCAAAACCCCAAACCCTAAACCCTCAACACCTAAACCCCTAATCTCCACGGAGCAGCCCCAGACCCCTTGCGGCTTGGGAACCTGACAGTTTGCTTCCCCCTCGGAAGGTTGGAACGGTTGAAGATTTAGGATTTAGGGTTTAGGGTTTAGGGTGGGAAGTTCTCCAAAATTAGGCCCCTATTAGATCACCAATATGGGAGCTTCCGAAAATAAGGGGTAGCCTATCTGGGGTCCTTATAGTAAGGATCCTACTGGGCTGCGTAGTATTCCCCCCCTAGTTTTCTGCTAAATCGCTGAACTCGATAGGTTTGTGAACCCAGACACAGTTTATCAACCCAGGAAAGTTTATAA